TCGTCACACTGTCATTTCTCAAATTCAAATCCTTAACTTTAAATTCTAAGTTCAGACTTGAATAGTCAGAATATAAGTTTTTTCTTCTTCTCTTTTTGTTAACTTCCTTAAATGACTGTTCTGAATAGTTTGCAAGATATATAGATATCAAGCAAATAATGTATATCCAGTTTACTCATTTACAGACAGGTTAGACCTTAATTCATGTTAGTCTGTCGTCGACTTGTGAATTTGAATATCCCTTTGGTATCTTCCGTCCCTGTTTTAAAATATAATTTTTGTACGTGTTAATCCCAGTCACTTCTTTAAGTGCCTGTCCCAATCCAGGAACAAGTTTTCCTACGAAAATTTTGTTTTTTTTTCTTTCTTTCGTATTTATATTTTTTCAGTGATGTAATACAAACAGGCCGCTGATTTTCATATTTAACTTTTACACATTTCTCATTTAGAAACTTTTAAGGTAACACTTTGCTCAATGTTGAAATTTTAAGGTAACCTATATGATAGTTCAAAACTGTCATCTTTAATCTATCTCTGGACATTGCCTGAGTAGCCTTTATGTTAACTCCCTTTATATTAACCGGCTTGGATTGTTTTTTCGACATATTAACCTTTCCACTACTGTCAAACGTCTGACATAAAAACTTTTCAAAATTAACAGTTAATATAAACATATTACCAATTGGAAGTGTATGCATTAACACTTAAAAATAAAGTCAAGTTCGGAACTTAATTACACTTGTATTGTTTTTCTATTTTCTGTTATTCATATTTATATATGTCACATGTTCATGGTCTTTAATTTCTCTTAAATGGTTATCGAGTGACATAAATATAGATTCCTACACTGCAACAAGTGTATTACGATATTTCTCCACTCGAGACAGTTAAATTTTATTATTTAAAGCGCGAGGCTTGCCGAGCTTTTAAAATAATTAAAATATGACTGTCGAGAGTAGAGAAATATCGTAATACACGAGTTATGGTGTCGGAATCTGTTTCTCTGATGATTTTTATCCTTCGTTTTTGAAAGATTTTCAGAAAATTGTGTTCTTTACAGTACGGGTAGAGACTTATTACTATAAATAACGGACTGGGACATGTCGGAAATGAATAATCCGACTTTTTTATGGTAGGTAGTATGGTCATTAATCAACAGATCCAGGTGTGAACGGTAATATAATTGTCCTTTCATCTCAATCCGTGCTACTAGATTATTACGCTTCACTGATTTCAGAATCAGGTTACCTGTGATTTAAACCTCTCAGTCTCAGTCACTTTATTGATTAGTTCTACATCGTATTTGACATAAAATATTTTTACAGGTGAAGTACTAGAGACAACTTTGTTTTAATAAACATAGCCTATTTTTTTAATTATGGCTTTTTATATTTCAAATGCTGTTTATATTCCTCAAAATATTATTTTCTATGTTCTGTTCCCTTGTTTTTTTTTTTTGTTATGTATCTTTTTCATATTTGTTGGCATACAGTTTTTAAAATATTTTCTGTTTTATTTCTGGAAGGTTATTTTTGTTTTACTGATTTATTTTCCACGTAAACCCATTGATTAGCAGAATGATGTGCAAAGTGCTGCTGCGTACGTTTTAGTTTGACAACACTACATTTGTATTTAATTTTCAGTCTGCGTTGGGTCAGTTATGAAATAAAAATAATTACAGTGAGCAATACTTATATACTAGTAGTTTGGTGATTCTTTATAATTGTGAATTTAATTTTTACTGTAAACAAATATTGTCCGAAAGTTGGTGATATATATAACTAAAGTAGTACGCAAATAATAACACTAGAAGAAGATAACGGTTCCTCTCGGGAATTAGGTTTATTTTGATATTTCTGTGTTTGTTAAATATGCATGAAATAATTGCCACTGACATGAATGGACATTAAAACTAGAAGCATTCAATCGTTTGATGACCAGTTGATTAAATATTTACTATGATTTGCAGTCTAAAGAAATGCAATTACTCCTATTTAAATAATTTTATGGTGCTGCATTGACTCTTAATTGCATAATATTTATTTACGCACAATGCATGTTAACTTGTATGTTGTATTTTTGACACCAATCTAAAAAAAAATATTTGCCGTGAAAAGACAATTCCATGATACACATATCAGTGATCAACAGCATGTGGTTGAACTTTGAACTTGACTTCACTCACAATACAATGTTGACTGCTAAAAATAGCTGGGTTAATTTTGTCAAACACCCGTGATTTTCATATGGCGGGAATTATCGTAACAGTTAACACAGGTGACCTTACTGACCGACCGTGGGAAAATCTATTCATGATTTAATTTGATACGTAATGATTGGCAGTATTGTGCGTTAGTTTTGAGGCTCTTGATCGAGATCCATTAATAATTGATATACCAGAATAGAAAATTTAATCCTTGTAGTTATAAACAAAACAAGCTTTAGTCTTCTTTAACTATTTTATTTATTATATTTATCAGTCAACACCCAGATTCCTATTTAAATAATTTATTCGGACACCTCCTTTAAAGTTCGGGAATTATACAATTTAAACTACCGACATTGATTTACAAAATCTTACTGACTGCACGAGCTTTAGAGAATGGCTAGAAATACGACGCAAAAGTAAAGACGGCTGATCATGAATAGTGTAAAACTTTGATTTTCGTGTATTGATTGACACAATTCGTAAAATATGTTTATAAAAAACACGATTTTCATTAAAATTTCAAACATGGAAATAGAAAGGCAATATCTTTGTTATAATAAAACGAGTGTCAACAAATCTGTTATTTCCATTATATGTAAATTTATTAACAAACAAAATTTAAAATAATGCTGGGTCATAGATCTGAATATATATTGATGTGCATATGAAAAGTTTTTTTTATATAAAAACTAGGAATCGAAAGATGATCACGGCGTCATAAATATTGTAAAAAAACCAATTGTTTCAAAAAGATTAATGGGAAATATATGTCAAAATAGAAAGCACGGCTAATCTGGCTGACCAAATTGTTTTACTTGCGAAAAATGATTGACAGGTATGAATAGACGTAGAGGCTCCGATGGAGAACGTGGTATCGAAAGGAAAATAACAGTTTATTCACAATGCCTATATTTAATTTGTTTATATACTTTATAAATATGATATTTTGGCCTTATACTTAAAATTGTGTTTCTATTAATAACATAAAGGAACAGGACGTTAAAAGGGGGAAATATTGTAACCATCAACGAAAACTCGTATAATTTACGGGATTGATGTCTCAACATTTTGATTAAAACTTCGATTGAAAACAGTCCTGGTTGTTATAATTTTGAATAAAATGAAATATCTACGGTTTACAAATACAAATACAAATAGTTTATGGGCACAAACACAATTATTATAATTACCAATACATTTTTACAGTGCATTGTTAAAAAATCGTCTTTCTTTCATTTTCAAGTTAAAAAAAAGTTGATCCCATATTCATATTTAATTTTAATTTTTATTGTAATTTTTTCTTTTAATACAAAACAGTATTTAACATTTATTATCTATCCTTCATAAATACTAAAATATCTGTACAGGTAAAATTTAATTCTAATCGAGCTGGTACAGATTGATTTACGACCTTCCACTCGGATATTGTACAGGTTAATATCACAGCAGGTGTTAATTACACTGAGACAACTGTCCGACCAGTCTGACATCTAGACGGATTAAGACATCCATAATAATAAGTCTCTACCCGTACTGTATATGCGACGTCATCAGGCATGGCCGCCTTTTTCATGACGTCAAAATAGGAAAATTCAGAAGAAAACAAAACATTTTGACGTAATAATCAAATTTCGACTAATCATTTGCCGAGAACAGATATTTCACTAGTGAGGAGAAATATTTTTCTCACACCGATCAAGAAATGTGAAAATAGCACAAAAATTAGAGAACAATATCTATATATTCAAGTGAAATTAAAATGCGTCGCAAGATAAATTTTCTTCTCAAAAGTTCTGTATGAATATGGCTTCTTATGAGTACAAAAACAGATTAGCAAGCACGTGTGCACAATTAGTATTCTTTGGAATACCGACTGTTTGCTGAAATATCAATCCAACAAAAGACGGATTTTTTATTTTGTAGTTGTCCTCCTTTGTGAATTTATGTGGGATTCCAAAGTTTGCGATGATTTTGAATTATTCAGTGCGCCATTCCAATTATTTTTTTTCATTGTAGGAACAACAACATATTTGTCGTGAAGAGAGGATAACGCATCAAAAGAAACCCATGTGCTCATTGTAAGTCGCAGGTTTTAAATTGGCTTCTGAATGCAAGCCTGCATGGAAAGAACAGCATTGATCCATTCATGTAAAGTGTCAAGCTTTCGTTTATTCAACTCGCACTTAACTAATTTTCTGGCATAGTCATCAACTACATCGATCAGTAACCTGAAGCTCTTTCTTCAGTAAATAGGCTAGGTAACACTATAATTCGGGCCTTCTGCTAACATCTCTGTAAGTTGATAATTGCTAACTACATCAAGATTCCAGTTATAACATGACATGCGGGACTGTCTTAGGATGAGACCATCTGGAGGTTCGAACTTTACAACCATGAGGTTAAAGGTCTATGAAACCCTCTTGTGGTTGAACATTTTGGATGAAATAGGTTTTGTATTGTATTGATGCACAGATATTCGACGGAAACATTATTTGCAAAATTCTACCTAGAAACGAAATCTTTATAAGTAGTTGTCACTGTTTGACAAGACTATGATTACCATGTCCAATTTTTTTTGCAACCAATCTGTATTAAGCAAAATATGATAAACATTTCCCAAAAAATTACAAATTTCATTCATATAGGGGCCAAATCATTTGAGAAGTTAACTTTTCCTTGTAGCAAAACAGATTTCTAGCTAAGATCAGTGTACAAGTTTGCAGTGCTTTATATAAGTTTTTTTTGCAACCCGGATTTGGTTAAAAGAATACTGTCAAACACAGTTCCTGTGACAGAATATTAAAAAAACCTTGTAATTTCCGAATTAGACTATTTACCGGATTTGTAATAACATAAGCAACACGACGGGTGCCACATGTGGAGCAGGATCTGCTTACCCTTTCGGAGCACCTGAGATCACCCCCAGTTTTTGATGGGGTTCGTGTTGCTTAGTCTTTAGTATTCTATGTTGTGTCATCTGTACTATTATTTGTCTGTTTGTCTTTTTATTTTTGGCCATGGCGTTGTCAGTTTGTTTTCGATCTGTGAGTTTGACTGTCCCTCTGGTATCTTTCGTCCCTCTTCTAACGGTTACTGGTACTGTCCCAACGATCATCTCTATGTTAGCACATCTAACGCAATATTTAATGTTACGTCATTCTGATTGGATGGCAACCGCAGTTGGTTATAGGTTGGTTATTTTATTCCCTTTGGGTCGTATATGACGTCACGTAATTTGGTACATCGAAACACTTTGTTTTGTCTACCCTCCAACAACTTTTCGGAATATTTTGCTTCCTCTTGTTTTATTTGAGCGCCACTGATAGGTTCTATGTAGACTAAACGGCTGTCTAGCCTAACTTATAGTAAGCCTGATAACTTTAATGAGCTTTTATATGTTTTTTGCCGTTAAAACTTTTGGCTTTGGACGCATATGATTTGCAAAGTTTTATTTTCAATTGTCATGATAAGGCAATTACAATCAACGTTTCCGGGACATTTCAAATGTCGTTTTCAACAATTCACTCCTTAACATAAAGACAACCGTAGATAGCGGATGTCAAATCTCACAAGTCTATTAATACATTAAGAAAAAAAACAATCAAAAATATTGAAGAAATTGCATGAACAGTAAAAGGTGAGATACCGAATGTGTTGACGGTCAAGTGCACTTGCTATGAATGCACCAACTGCAATGTGAATCCACACTTATGAGAACATAGAATTAAGGAATTGCAAATATTCGGTAAATTTCAAGAGCAGACGACATTTAATTCTATGATATAGGTTGTATTGTTGTACCTTTGCCGTATATCTAAGTTGTAAAGTAGGTCAATCGGTCGTTCTCAAAAATACAATGTTTTCGGGTCTAAGACTAACACTGCTTGTGGTAATGGAATCGGGCGTCGCCTGACAACATGTGGTAACTTGTTAAAGCATACGATCTATATCTGTTCATTCGATTGCAAAAGCCATAATTTTGAATGAAATCAGCTTTTTTATTGACTAAACACAAGTAAAGTCGACAACAACTAACAACAATAAGTATCTAACAATGGTGATAAATGTAGAATAAACAGTTTTATAACTTCTAGTTGAAATTCATTGTATTGAATTATTTCTGTATCTAGATTCATCATGGACAATGCTAACAGAAACCAAGAAAATGACGACGATGCAAATATGTATGGAATGAGAAAAATTACATATTTGGAAAAATACGGGGTTAAACACTTTCCATACCGCGGAAAGCGCAAATACGCACCATCAATTTACCAGTCAGTAGACGGTAGTATGGTTATCTCAAACGATGTTTTCGGATTGACAATCAAGCAGTTTGAACGAATGTATAAAGAATGTCTACATAGAAGGAAAACACATGAACAGTGGATACTAAACCTTAGATATCCTGACAAATCCTCAAGTGAATATCTGGAATACTTGCAGAATTGTACAGAATGCAATAAAGGTAACACTTTGTTATGTCAGACTCTTACGTAGCACAACTTGAAATAAATATTAGAATGAAATTTTTATGTAACAATTGTTTTCATTGGATAAAAGTTACCATCAAATCCACAGTTTACATGTCGTAACTAAGTAAGGAGCCGCAATTGTGAATTGTTTGGATCAACTCATGTTCGATTACTACAAAATTATCGAAAATAAAACAACGTCTACCTCAAAATCACCGTTTTGAAGCGATTTAATCCAGAGTTGATTCGTAGAAATAACGTATTGACCTTCAGTTTGTAAGATCATATTTGTGTGACGTCACGTGTATCCATGACGTCTTTACGCTAAAATCATACATGAAGTTTCGAGGGATTCTATTTTATTTCTAATTTATACATCTTTTTAAGCTGTAACGTACTATTTCCTTTTGTAAACATTAAAATCGGCATAACAGTACTGTAGTTGAAGAGTTGAGACCATTAAATCTCCAATTGACGGTACCAACTCTTCAACTACAGTACTGATATTCTTTTAATCATAAACCAGAGTAAGGAGCCTGTAACTAAGTTGTTGTCGTTTGTTGTTGTTATATAGATTTGTTGTTTGTTTATTGTTTTTTAGAAGCAGTTGGTTGTCTTGTTTGAATATTTTTACATTAATTTGTAATTTAGGGCCATTTTAGCTAGCTATTTGCTATCGGTGTTGTTGAATGCTATATTTGGAAACATCTACGTAATTAGGTCTCTGGTGTCTGGTTGTCTCATTAGCAATAAAACGTCATTTTCAATTTTTACATGGAAAACAATGATTTAAACGCGATAGACAAGAAAAGAAACAAGTTCATTAAATACTATACAGTAAACGAAAGACTGAGGAACTCAAACCTAACCGGAAACAAATGTAGCATGTATTTGCTTCAGAATGAAACAATTCATTGATCTTCCATAAACAGTACTGCTAATGGCGTTCGAATATGGTGCTCAAGAATTTTAAAGTTCCTGTTCTATTATCCATAGTGCTGCTTTTGTGAAGAAATTAATAAGGTTTACGTCTCATTAGGTTATCAACGATCTATAAACACATGAAACAGTGGGTTGGGTTTTCTCATTGATAATATAAATAACATCTGTAAAGAAAATCAACTGTTTAACCCGTTGAAATATCTTTGAAAGAAGAAATGATCTGTTTACCCTTCTGGAGCACCTGAGATCACCCCCAGTTTTGGGTGGATTTCGTGTTACTTAGCCTTTAGTCTTGTGAACTATTGTTTGTCTGTCTTTTTCTTTTTTTAGCCATGGCGTTGTCATTTTATTTTCGATCTATGAGTTTGAATGTTCCTCCGGTATCTTTCTCCCCTCTTTTAAATATATATGTACAAACAGACTAAAAATAAATGAGATATGTTTAATCTTTTTGCATGTTTTTGTTCTGGGGATGGATAAGTACCCTGCCACGTCCACTCTGTGTTTGTGATACTTGTTTTTGCTTTATCTTCATCTGTTGAGTTAAGTCCTTTTCAAATGATTTTTTATAGTTTGGTCATATGTTGTACTGTTACACCACTGTCCAGGTAAGGTGAAGGTTGGGCACCAGCTACCATGTTTAACCCCTCCACATTCTAAATGCGCCCGTTCCAAGTCAGGAGCCTGTAATTCAGTAATTCAGTGGTTGTCGTTTTTTGCTGTTTATCATATTCGTTTATAAAGTTGTACATAAATCAGGCCGTTAGTTTTTTCGTTTGAATAGTTTTAAATTTTTTATTTCGGGGCCTTTTATACCCGACTATGCGCAATGGGCTTTGCTCGTTGTCGAAGTCCGTACGGTGACCTATAGTTGTTAAGTTCTGTTTCATTTGGTCTCTTGTTGAGAGTGGACGTATTGACAATCATACCACATATTCTTATATGTATAAAGATTGATAGAAAATACATACAGAGATGTAAGATTTGTTATTAGGACAGTGCTTTTAACATATTGATACGTATACGGGTTTAAACATATATATTATGAGTCGCACAAATAACGTAAACATCATCATACATCTAGTCTTAGGGTTGAACAAATTTTCAACAATCATGACAAATAACCACAAAATTCTTTTCTGAATTTTTTTGTTAGATAACCCTTTGTTTTAAATTAAATTCTATGAATTTGCTGAGGTGGAAGTGTCTATTTAATTATACCTTCACAAATTGAAAAAGTTTTACATGGAATATATATTACAATGTTATCTACACATTTTGTCTATCCGTGCTTACATTAAGCAATGCGATCATAATTTACATTATGCAGGTACATTGGGCACTATAATTGGTAAAGAGTGATTGAAACACGACATACTGCACATGCATTGAATACAGCGGTTTAAAAAAAACAAAGAAGCTAAACAAAGAAACTAAATAATAGTTGATTTGTCTTTCTTTACAAGGCTTTTGCCATTTTTTTATATGCACATATAATAGTTAATATATATACACTCAGTAAATTTGACAAAATATTTATATGTAATTAATTAATGAATAGAAGAACAACAGACTAACAATAATAAACACATGTGTATCGCCAGGATAATCTGCAGATTAGACAAAAAGAAAAAATGCTAATTTTTTTCTTCTTAAAATATTGCAACCAAGCAAACCAAACAACCCAACCAATAACAAATACAATTTCCAATGACAACATAGCAATTACTTTCTGAATAGTATTTTAGCAGTGTTGACACATTTAAGAGAGAACAAACTGACAAATCGAATGTCGTTTAATGCAACAAATGTATGTTCGGCAATTGTATGCGTAGCAGCGATATTAAGAATAATAATTGACACAATCAAAATAATTAAGACCAATCATAACACCAGCGAGGATACAAACAAGTCATCAAAGATACCAGGCTACTGATTAAGAATATACAACGAGAGTATAGTCTACAAATACTATTGTTAAGTAGCATTCGAATTAAGATATTTGCAGCGCCTACAGCTGGCAATTCTGTAAATATAGACAATGCAATTTCCCATAGGAACTCCCTTTGCGGCTAAAACTATGACACTTTTACTATGAAGTTTCGTGAAAAATAATATCCTAGAACGGAAAAGTTTATATGCACTACTATTTTATTCAAAGGTCAAAATATAGGGCTGTGCGGCATATTTTCAACATTTATATGCCCTGAACTTCTAAGAGTTTAAACTTATGATGTCTCCATGAAATGAAACACAGAGATCATAAATGGGAACCAGTACGTTAACAAATTAACATATCTATGAATATTATATATCTCCCCAAAAGAGGCGTGGTTTGAGAAACAGCTGTATTTACAAAGTGCAACCTACAGCATGTACAAACTTGCTGTGTTTAATTACAATCTGAATCTGACAATTAAAAACATTGTACCATATCTTGCTAACGTATACAATATATGCTTGGTGTAAACAAACTCTTTAACATTTTTTAACAATGAAATGTATGCAAATGACCGGCTGATACATTATTAATCTACATGCCAATTAATACAAACTTAAGGCCGATGTAAAATGTCATTAACTATACTTGATTTATTCTAGCCGCAATGTTCATCTCCTTGAAACAGATCTTAGGATATTACGTTATATGTACGGACGTTGGTATACTGTTTTATGATACATCAAGAAATAAACATATTTTCTTATTCACATTGTAGAAAACTCTCCTTGGCCTGAAAATGAATTGAAAGAAAAAGACTTATTCGAACATTTGGTAAAGATAGTTGGTACTGAAATAGATATACGTACTAGACAAAGATTATTTATCGTACAGGATATGATATTTAATTTGACAAATGATGATACACAAATATCGAGTGGAAGTTTGGCAGAAGGACTAGATTTACCAGGAAGTGACTTAGATATAATGTTTGTATGCAACCAAGTAGTTGTCAAACGGAATGTACGCGATACTAAATATTCCAAACAGACAGTACAGCATTATAAACACCCAAAGCAACAAAGTATATTTGTTATGGAGACAGATAATGATTATCCAGGATTTACAAAACTAAGATTAATAGCCGCAAAAGACACTATAAATTTAACACATGAATGCTTTGAAATTACTACAAAAGGTTTATATTTATCAGTTAATGGATTTCTAAATGGTATGAAGAAAGAACTTCAACATGTGCACCTAATACCACACGGTCCTTGTCTAACATTTTCAGATCAAGATCGCGATTTTGCCTTCTGCTTTCGATGTACATGTTTGCCTTACAACGCAACTTCATGGGCAATGCGTAATCGACGGCAATGGCCTCCTAATTTCGTGATTGACAAGATTGAACAATACGGATGTTTGCTAGTACCCATAGGACCTAAGAACAAGTCAGATTCTAATTTATTATGGAGATTGTCTTTCTCTATGGCAGAAAAACAACTTGTGCATTCGTTTAATTTTACACAACTCTTATGTTACGGTCTTCTCAAACTAACATTAAAGCGTATCATTAACACAAATGATGATGTCAAAGATTTATTGTGTTCCTATTTTCTGAAGACGGCTTTATTCTGGGTCTCAGAGGAAGTGGATATTGACACATTTCAAATACCTAAATTGTTTCGTTGTTATTTTATCTGCTTGCATAAATTGATATCATGGGTGGAAAAATGTTACTGTCCAAATTATTTCATACCTGAACACAACATGTTCCTCGAAAAGATCACGTCAGATAACAATAAAATGCTACTACTTGTACTGAATACCTTACTGGTTGACGGAATTGATAGATTGATTAGTGGTTTATTTCCGCCTCACAATAGACATTATCTTTTAAAGAGTGAATGTTCGTTCATTAGGCTAGACCTTCTATTTTACAGAATTAGTGGGAGTAGGATTGTGCGCCACATGTTAGAGTGCCATAATGTACTGACACTAACTGAATCTTTACGGAAGTCCGAAATGTCCGCGTTCATTAGTGATGTATGTAAATTTGAATACAATAGAATAAGTAAATTTGCAGTACAACTACTACCACTACCAACCGTAATGAATAAAAAGTTCAACATACACAAACTTTATCATAAACATTAACAAGACTATATCAAGACAGATGCCGTGTCGGGTTGGTTGTTTTACGCGTCGTTTTGTTACGTGACAGGACAGTACAATGAAACACTCAAACTGATAGATTATGTTCTATCAAGATGTTCACCTGATTTGGTGAATATGGAATATATCTATCGTGAAGAACATATCAATAGTTACAGACAAAATGTACATTCTAAAATGACATTTCTTGAAAGGATGAAAATAGCCGTTGTAGATAGTGTTTTTTATATGAAACACTCCTCATTAATTCCAGGTGAACTACAACTGGAGGTTGAATACAGTGATATTTCTATACTGCCCATCACAATGTCTCACTGCCTTAGATTTCTATGCTATAATCGTCTTGGTGAAATTATCAATAGACAACAAGCTTAAAGTGATTTACATTTAAGAGTGAGAGAAGATTGTCATAATGATTTTTACCGATCATCTGATGCATTAACAATACTTGGAGTATGTATGGAGTTATCAGGAGATAAGAATTCAGCGTATAAGTGTTTTCATGATGCTTTACAATGTGATTATATAATATGTCCATCAGCAAAAATACGAGTTTCTCAACCTTTTGACGTCTAATATAAGCTTCTTCCTTATACTGTCTAAGTACAATCGAACTTTACTATGAAACGATTGTTCTAATAAATAAATAAAAAAAAAATTTGAAGATTTACAAATGGATACACATTAACTTCGTGCTTTATATAGGATGCGTACGTTTCCACATTGTAGTCAGCTTATAATAAATGCAATATGTTTATATCAAAACAAAGGAAAAATATATACTATATGGATATACGACTGACAATGTTTCTATAAAAAATCTGCAATGGCAAAAGGATAAAGAATTGTTACAGTAAATCGTTTATCTATAGTATAATTGTGATAAGGAAGAATTAAAATACAGTCAAGATTTTTGACTCACTAGAAAAATACCCAAACATACCGAATTCCAAAGTAAATTGATAATTAGGGTCGGTTGAGAACAAAACTTTCCACCGGAGTCTTTATATGAAGTATTAAGCTTTAAAATGATAGGGTATTCCGGATATTAGTTCTCCAATCATGATTTTCTTGACAAAGTTTATGTTTTGATTTTCATTAACAATTCATATGAGATTTTTCAAAACCACAGATACATTTTTTAAACATTGCATTTGACTACAGCAGTATCTCAATTCAATAATCTATGACAAACGAGACAATTTCTATTTTGTTATTATAAATTTTCCAACCTTAGCAGCAATTTTCCAAATTTACCCGCGTTTGAGTATACTTTCTAAACACATGCGATATTTGAGAGCTTGCGCATACTTTGTAAAACGTTATATGAGCCAGAGCAATTAATGAGTCAGTGTGTTGTCAGAAAACATGAACAAAAACATCTCGTCCTTTTTCTCGAAGTGTTAATCGTTTATTACCAAGACATAATTGATAAATAACCAGTGTCTCCGTCACAACTAATACAGCATGGTCTTACGTTCGAAATAGTTGGTGCTGAATCATTTTATATACTTAAATATTTCCTTTTATCTCGGTTATCGTGCATAAAGTATTGTTTTGTTTTACTTGACGCGGTTATTGACGTATGCAGATTCGGGAAAGTATTTGCACCTGATGTTGTATTTTGTATTTTGTTTTGCTTTTGTCTTATAAAAGGGGCTGCTGGATGCTGATGCTTTTCAATTTACTAATAAAACTTGCTGTCAATTGTTTTAATTCAAGCCCTCTAAAGAGTCTTGTTTAAAATAAACGTTGATCCGGCGTATAAAATATATAAATCAAAGCAACAGTATTTTACCTAGGTACAACTATTGTAAATGGACCCCAAAAGGATACATCAAGGTAACAAACGAAAACCAGGTGAACTGTATGAACTCTAAAAGGAGCAAAACCTTGTGAATTGATAATGTGATACGGTAGTTGTCTCCTGCTTTGCTTACAACAAAGGACATGCGAAACTGCACTCCTTCAAAACGTGGTTAGCTAAAACCAGTAGACGTAAGCTTACAGATAGAATAACTTTTGTTGTATCTAACGATCCAAGACTGCAAAATAGTAAGTTAAAACAGACATATCGTACAGGTCAAACAATTCGTAATGTTGATTTTAAATCAAAAATCACATTCCGTTGATAAACAAAGAGGTTGAATATACCAAGGAATATCAAAAAATTGATTAGTCGAAGAAGAACAAAACGAAAGACCTCGAAAATACCGTCACGTCAACAAACCATCGTATGATACATTCAAAATAAATAAGCTAGCCACAAATATGGATACTGAAAGTTATCAAAATTTTGAAACTGCATTTCAAATTAATGTATTAAAAAGACAGGCAAAAGCATGTAAATTAAGGCAACAGTAGTTTACTGATGTTGAATTATCATAAATCAATTAAGATAAGACTATTAAGAAACACAATCTAAGAAAATTGCTTTAACGTCAAAAGGATCGCGATTGATTCTTTTAAGAGGAAAAGCGACTCTTGCTATGCATGTATCACCCGACATTTAAATTCAGACGAAATATTACAATCTGAGGTAGGACATCATCGTTAAAATATGATCAAAAGAGGGCCGAAAGATAGCAGAGGAACATTCAAACTCATAAATCGAATATAAACTAACAACGTCATGGCTAAAACAGAAAAAGAAAAACAGATAAACAATAGTATACAAAACACGACAGAGAAAAAAAAAAGAGTAAGCAACACGACTGTTAACTACTTACAGAGGTAGGTATAACCAAGCATTTTCTTCAGAAAATGCCTGTACTTAGTCAGAAGTATGACAGTTACTCTCCGTTCACCCTGTTGGTTGATATAAAACATTTGATTTTGTCAATTTTATGGACTTCCCACTTTTGCAATTTTCCCTGGAGTTCGGTATTTTGCTAATACCTTTATTCTCATACTGTAAATTTAGAAATTATTGCGATGTTTTTATTATTGCGATAAATGCGACAAGGTTATAATCGCAATAGTTTTACTTGCATTTTGAAACTTTTGATATGAATTTTACAGGATTTTTCTCAATATCGCAAAATATAAAATCGCATTTCAGTCTAAAATGACAAAATCGCAATAATAAATACACTCAATAATTTCTGAATTTACAGTATATAAAATATTGTCGCTTGTGCAAAATTTGACTGACAAATCGTATTGGTCAACACATTTGTTATGGTGACCGTAAAAATTACGCAGTGTCGTTCTGCCGTTTGCTGTATGGAGCACTTATCTGTAAATGAAGTCCGAATAGTATTAACATGCACGAGCGTAGCGTTTCCAGTACATTTTAAACGTATAAACGCCCTACAGTGGAGCAGAGGGTATGTAACTTATGATATTTCTTAAGCTGACAATCAAGTTTAAATCATCATGTTTGTCATTAATTTTATTTACGTCGTTCCTTTATTTAGATATTGAAGATAATATAAGGACATGATACAGACCTTTTACTTTTGGTAGCATCCGTTATCTCAAGTTCACAGACGTATAGATATAAGAAGATGTGGTATGAGTGCCAATGAGACAACTCTCCATCCTAGTCACAATTTGTAAATGTAAACCACTATAGGTCAAAGTACTGTCTTCAACACGGAGCCTTGGCTCACACCGAACAGCAAGCCATTAAGGGCCCCAAAAATTACTAGTGTAAAACCATTCAAATGGGAAAACCAACGGTCTAATCTATATAAAAAACGAGAAACGAGAAATACTTATGAACCACATCAACAAAAGACAACTACTGAACATCAGATTCCTGACTTAGGACAGGTGCAAACAAATGCAGCGGGTTTAATCGTTTTAATAAGTACAAACCTTCACCATTATCTGAAACAATAGACTAGTGTAACATCACAATATAGAAAGAATATATAAAATATAAATTTTGAAATGGCTTAACTCAATCAAAAGACATATTAACACAAGTGAACATACACTGAACGAATAAATTTGATCTATGACACAATGTAAATACAACATCAATATACATGATATATGATGTAACATGTGAAAGCTCTTTTTGAAATGTTTGTTATTGGATGACAGAACAGCTTCAATATATCTGAAAATAAAATTAAGCAACTTCACAAAAGGCCTTTCAGTTTGACCATTTCTACATAAGGAAATGCCTGTATCAAGTCAGGATTTGATGTTTTTGAGTCTTTGAATTTGCCATTTGTTAAAGGATTTTCCGTTTCGAATTTTCCATGAAGTTAAGTATTTTTGTCATTGTACTTTTTCTACAACCTAGACGTTGTCACGTTTCATCCTGCTGCAGTAGATTATTCCCCGAGAGCATCATTAATATGGTAGTTTAATGCAAAGAAAAGAAAGCAATAAAAAGAAAGTAATGGCTAGGACGTCACTTAGGTTACTAAGGTCATCATCTGCTACACGGATCATTGTAGAATTTGATTTGTGTGTTCAATAAAACATCCTTCGAGATATCATTGATTTGAGTTATGTACAGACAGAAGGTAATTATTACTTTAAACATTCAGATACATTTAAAAAATTACCAACCTTTATTCAAATCATTTTTTTCTTTATACAAGTGGTTTACCCCTGGACCTGTAGAGCATCAACAAAAACTAACTGCCGTGAGAGCGCCCAAGATGATTAATACTCTCTCAAGTACTAGTAAGTGCAACGATGGTGAATGAGCCAACCCTCATTTACCAACATTTATCTTGTCCAAGTATTTAAGCATCATCAGAAATTAATAGCCAGTCGTGGGAGCGGGCGAGGCGATACAAGTTTTTCAAAATTAAAGTTCGTAGTTATAACTGAGATGAGCGAACCAATCATCGTTAATCCGTAAACACTTTCAATTCTATTGACGTTTCAGTTCTTGAAAACACAGTTTACAATATCCCGCCGTTCTTTTAGTATATGTAAGAGAATGATAATCCCTTTCTTCATGATTAAGTACGAGCGTTAGCGAGTACTTATCGTGAAGTAAGGGATTATCATTCTCTTACAAACTTAGAATATTGTAAAGTGCTCAAGGCTCAAATGATCTATTCAAGAATTAGTTTCAATTGTATGTGCAATGTTTATAATTGATGCATGACTTCCTTTTTGAGCATGTCATTTATGGATTAGTTTTACTGATGACAGGACTTTCATATCATTTGGGAAATATTTTTTTTTTAAAAAGCGTTATAGATATTAGGTGACACAACAGTAGAAAGAAAAGGTATGAATTTGATATGTTTCTTGATTGTGAGTATGAATGTAAATCATGTAATATTTTAGTGAGGAATTATCCTTTTTTTTATTTACAGTTTAAATCAATTAATATGTTTGAGTTACAACTAAATTTTATTTCACAGCCAATATTTTGGTCCGGTTTTTTACATCAAATAATATTTCAGTATTTCAGGGAAATGTTCAAAAAATGTTCAAAAATAATGCCTTTAAAAGTTTTTAATATGTTCAAAATTAAATTCCTGTTTTTTTTATCGGAATACTGGAAATAAATATTCTTTCCAACCACTGATCAAGTAATTAAAGTTTTGGAAAGCTAAAGATTTAGGTTATTTTTTTATCTGAAAGATTTTTTTTCTTTTTTTGCTTTGCTTTGGTATTGTTTAATTTTTTTTAGTAATTTGAAGTTATTAATATTTTCATAATAAAATTCACGGTACCAATTTTACTGCACCAGTAAACTTCAACTTATTTTGAGATTTTTGTTTGTTTCACAATTGAACTTTTAGTCAGTTTCAATCACTGTGTGATAAATCCTTCCAATCTGATAAATGTGCTTCGGGGCAGTTGTAACTCATTTATAGAAACTCTTTGTTTTGAACTGTAAATAGACCCAAATAATAGAATAATCCCTTACTAAGAACATGATTTACATTCATTCTTCACAATTAA